ATAGTCTTCCTAACTGCTGGTGATACACGACACAACTCCAGCCGTGTCCTCTACTGCCCCTCGAGGGAGCGCACACAACGCCAGCCCCCCCGCGCCGCATAATAAACACAGGCATCCTTCTGAAGCCAGAGCCGGCGCGGAATCCCTAGTGACGGGACTCTTTTTTGTCCTCCAGAAATAAAGAAAAAAAAAGGCGAGTGAGTAAAATAGACAAACACGTTCTTCTTCCACGCGCAAGCCGCCCTCCATCCATTGTAGCATGCAGGTGCTGCCTCAAACAAGTAGTCATACACCACGCCCGCCAGCCGTCTGTCTATCCGTCCACCTGTCCATCTGCGATAGCGAGACGCTGCTTCATGCTCTTGGCCTTCTTGCCCGTGGCGCCGCCGCGTCGCTTTTTCGTCCCCTTCGCGTCGGCTTCCGCTGCGACCGGCGTCGCCCGTACCCGAGGCCTGTTTATCATCAAAGTTGCCTTCGCCTGGAAACAAGTTAGAACCATCGTCGTGCTAGTTACCCGCAGAATAGAAAACTCACCCCTCGGTGGTACATCTTCGTCGAGACTGACACCGTCGCCGACCGGCCGCTTTCCTCTTGGCGGCGGCCTTTCTTCTTCGTCGCGCCCGGCGGCTTGGTCAAACTCGCCGGCTTCGGAGCATCTCCTTTCTCGCGCCGCTCGATCATCTCCGCCTGATCGTCATCGGCCAGCCACATGGCGATTATCGCGGTTGGCGGTTCTCCGGCGCACGACGGCCCGAAGAAATCGACACTGGCACCAACCACCCTGGATGACGACGCGCTGCACCTCCTCCTTCTGCAGCGCGCGCTTGCGAATCCGCTCCTCGATCGTGCCACGCGTGATGAGACGATAGACGGTGACCTGCTTGGTCTGGCCCAGTCTGTGAGCGCGTCCATGGCCTGCGAGTCATGTGGGTTCCAATCCGAATCGTAGACGATGACCGTGTCTGCGGTCGTCAGGTTGATGCCGAGACCACCAGCACGA